GAAATTAATCGAAATTAACATAACAGAGGTTTATATATAAAACGAACATCTCTTGTTTTTAAAAAGCTTTGTCCAATCATGCATTATAAAACAAGCATTAACAAGTATAATAAACAAAATTGTACGAGTTGTGATCAAAATTTGACCTCAGACTTATAAATATTGATCTACCTTAGTCAAACACTTTAAACACAGTGTGCATGCATTTGTGGATAAACAGTTGTAGAACATTTCTTAACGTCTCCATAAGTAGATATAGACAGTCGGGAATTTTGACCAAGTATTATTAGTTAGTGATACATATCCATTCTTATTTATTAATCAGGATTTCCTATGAGTCAGCTAAAGTCACATCGTGTTTCCACTCTCCATTGTCTGCAACAGAATGTGTATCCTAAATCCGTAGCTGTTCAATCACCTGACAACTCCAGTAGGTCGAATAAAGCAGCTCAATTTTCAGAAAGAAGACAAAGTAATAAGTTTGACAGGGTGCTTCAACTAAACTCTAATCCTAAACACCATAATTTTGAAAATACATCTTATCATAAAATTCTAGATACTAACAGTTTGAACAGATATGAAGGTGTGATGTTAGCTGACGCATAGGAAATCCTGATTAATAAATAAGAATGGATATGTATCACTAACTAATAATACTTGGTCAAAGTTCCCGACTGTCTATATCTACTTATGGAGACGTTAAGACATTGTTTTACAACTGTTTATCTACAAATGCATGCACACTGTGTTTAAAGTGTTTAACTAAGGTAGATCAATATTTATAAGTCTGAGGTCAAATTTTGATCACAACTCGTACAATTTTGTTTATTATACTTGTTAATGCTTGTTTTATAATGCATGATTGGACAAAGCTTTTTAAAAACAAGAGATGTTCGTTTTATATATAAACCTCTGTTATGTTAATTTCGATTAATTTCCCTGAAGAAGTTCGGACCAGATTCCCGAACGAAACGTTGGAATTACTCATTTCAATCTCACTGAGATTTTAAAAATATAATATTTTACAAATGTCTACATCTCACTCGGCGCCCAAATATTTTAGAATTATTCTGTCAAATCTTGACTACAGTTCATTTGATTTATTATTATTAACAATAACACATTACTATGGTGCACAATACAGACTTAGCAGTCTGGTATATTCATCAGTTATTGGTGTGAAACCAATTTCGTGTGTTTTATCCTTAATAGTGCTGACTGAATACCATCAGTATGTTAGTAATGTGGTCATGTTTCTGGCAGATTTGCCACCGTGATGCATTTTCTGGAATAATTCTCAGTGATTAGAAGCAGTCATTCAAAATCATTGACAGCATAGCTAATTAGTTTTCTTTTTTTATGATTCCAGTTAAGAAAACTTTCAACGCTCAAATCATCTGCATTTATTTGTTGAACACATATTCAGTTTTATAGAATAACTCAAAAAGGTGTTTCCCATGAAATACCGGCTGAGTGATACAATGAACTGCTAGCGCAGTGATATCATTCAGTGAGGGAATCCTTGAAAGTCACTAGGAACTAGACGGGTGTTTCCATCAGGTTTGAATGGGCACTGTTCCAGAAGCCCAAACTAGAATCAGATAGCCGTCCAGTTCCCCACGAATTACAGTGATTCCCTTATTGATATCCGTTATTGACGAATTCTACCTTACAACAAATCAAATCCCTACATAACCCAAAATCTAAATATTAACGGTGTATGTTTCATTATTATTATTGTTCCCTTGGATTCCAAGTAGAACACAGGGCTTCAACAACACACATCCACTTTTTTTGCTGTCCTCTTTAGCTGGGCCCATGATTGTCCATAATCTCTCATCTCCTCCTTACATGATCTCCTCCATGTCATCCTCTCACCGACGACGCACTCGTCGCTTCCTGTTCAGATTCCAATCGAGCAATGGCCTGCATCGAGCGCGATGTCATTTGACGGTCTCCCCAATGTATGCCCAGTCCATCTCCATTTTACTGAGCCTGAATCTCTCAACGGTTACGTCTTTGACTACAGTACTAGGTGAGGCGGGTTCGAATCTCAGAAGGGATATGAATTCCTTCAAGGTTGCAGATACGCCTCACTGACTGGTGTGAGTGCCAACTAGCATGAAACCTAGGTTCAAGGCTTCCTGCCGATTACCTCCAACCATCTAATATCATCAAATCAATGTGCACCGTGATGGCGAGCCACCTATAATGGTGGCCGCATTGCCAACGTGACTAATAGAATTCAGTCTGCACCCAAGAAAGGACTAGACACATCACATTAGTTACTAGTGTCCAGTCAAATTATCCTCTACATATTTGTTAGGCAAAAGGCTGCTGGTTGGTTTGTTCTCAGTTAGAGTTTCTCGTTACTAACTCCTCCTGGCCATTTGATATTCAATATAGAGTGAAAGCAGCTGTTGATAAGAGTCTTAAATAACCCGTTAGAAGTGCTTCTCACGATGCGCCTGCTAAGTTTCTGACAGCAACTGACTTGATATTAGTGTTCAAAATCCGAATCTTGTTCTTTGTGATTTTGAGTGCAGAATATTTTCAAACTGGTTTCGGATTAATGAAGACGTATCTTGTCCGGCCGATTCTGTAGATTTTAAGGCACGCCGCCAACCTCCATGGTGCTTTTTCTTGAGTTTACTGCAAATATGAAAGTTTTTGGGTTTAAAACGTTTTATAAAATCCCGGGAGTGGATAATACAATTAGAATGCATGATGTGATATGTAAATACCAATAAAATACGAGTAAATAGATGCAAAATGTACATGGAATGTGGTAGCCCAAAATGTTCAAACAGGCCGCCAAGGTCATTCGATGTATAAAACAAATTATTATTATTATTCTGACATCTTCATCCGTTCCACCTGTATCTGAGACGATGCTTCCTAGATAGTTGAAGGAGGTAACCGCAGTCAAACCTCTCCCGTTGGTGGTAATTAGTGCTGGTTGTTGTTGTTGCCAGGTTACATATATGTTTGTATAAATATATATATATATATCCAGCGACTTTTACATAAATTTTTATTTAAAACAGAACACATTATGGAGTTTATTTTTCGTGTTCTTTCTGCGCTCTGAAGTTTTTGCGGCGATAAGGTTGATTTTCAGGGATGGTGTAGTTAAATACAATCACAGACTCCCCTCTTTTTCCAGCTTTAGCACCACTTTCTGAATTAATGTCAAAACACCTCAAAGATATCTACATGGGAAAACTAATAAGTTCTCAGAAGAGGCTTGCAGCTTAGATACGACTTCAAATGAACATAGAGAAAAATGGAGGGGATGAAAATGCCGAACCAACAATAACAACAACAAATATCGATCACTACTAACGGGGGAACTTGGAAGGGGTCACTTCTTTCACTTATCTAGACAGACTTCTATCACCCTGGAATCAGTTTGGAAATCTGCTGTGCTCAACATAAAAAAAATATTTCGGATTTTCAACACTAATGTGTATTCACTCAGGGTGCACACATCAGCAAAAACACTTCCAGCAGGCTACTGCAGACTTTTATCAACGGCTACCTTTGCTAACTCCATGCCGAAGATCATATGATTAACCTGAATGGGTAAGCAACATGGGACTCAAGTAACGAACTACTCAAGAACTTATCGCCCTACAGACACTTAGGAGAAAATGCAGATGGATGAATCAAACATACGTTGAGAAGACTTTTGAGTGACACCAACTTCCAGGTTTTATAGTGGTGCCTGGATTGGAAACAACGAGTTGTCAGTAGGTCTGAGGATGAGCTAGAGGAGATTGTGTGAGGTGGAGATGAGAAATTATAGGTAGTAGTGGAGCCAGCTAAAAGGACTTTGTAAGACAGGATGAAATGGTGATGTCCTTTTGAAGCCCTATGTTCCACTAGGGACCTATCGGAATAATAATAATATTAATATATATATATCACTTTTGGCACTGACAAATACTTGTTTTGGTAATGACCTTGCAAAATTCTACCATTGGTGATATAGTTTTTAGTGAAGAATTTGTATGCATCAATAAAACTAGTTATCTATACGAATCAACTGTAGATCATGTGTGCTGAACATTTGCTTCTGTTTTTAAATATTTTTTAAAGTGAACTGAAAAATGATGTGAAGTATATTTATTGACTAATGCAGAGAAGATGATGATAGTCCATAAATATATCAGCCGACAGTATTTACAGACTTTTACAATAAGTAGCCATTTCTTCTGTCTTATTGATAAGATTACCAGCACACTAAAAGTATGACTATTCTGCAATGATTCCCCCCAAACATTTGTGTTACTTAAGTTAGGTCGAACAATTGTGACGTAAACAGTCTGTTTTTCTTGATAGCTTAATAGGTGAGTTGTTTCTTCTTGTCTAATTCGTACAACATATTGAACTGCCCGACAGATCAATATGAATGTAGAGCTATTCTTTCTTAGCATCTCAAGGACCAAAGCTAGAAAAATTACACCTTCTATACATTTCCGATGTGAATACTTGAAAAATTCGTAGATCAGTAGTATATTGTCGAATGATCAATACTAACTTTTTTTCAGTCCACTTTTACTTTAGCTAATATTTTTTACCGAGGATGGTTACGGTTCGACATGGAAATTTTTTAAACATTTCTTCAGATTTTGAAGTTTCCCTAGTGACAGTACTGTTCATGCTTATGTGGTTGGGTTGCTAACGTCACGCCCCACCTTCTCTGTTTTCTAAGCTTAATTTTGACCAGTAAACTAGACGGTTTTTGAGTGCATCAACGCTTGAATCGAACTCGGACAATATAAGCATTTGGCCAGTATTCTTCCACTGAAACAAAAATACTTCTTTACTACTAATTGCTTATTTTGTAAGTAATTTTATTCTAACTAGCTAGTGGAGATGAACTTCGAATATTACTGGTTTTAAACCCCTTTTACCGATTTTGGAGTTCATGTTATGCATACGTTGTTGAAATTAAACCAATTATTAATGTAGTTATTTTCAATTCTATACTTCAGTTGCCAGACGTATAGCTAAAGAATATAACATTCCGATAGTCAATGCTGGGGATTGTGTCCGTTGGATACTGAAAGATCCAAGTCATATGTACACGTCATTAGCTAATCGTATCAGAGAACAATTTAATCTTGGTGAAGTAATTTCAGATGAACTTACAGCTGAAGCAATACACACATTATTGATGAATGGTATCTATTTTACACGTGGGTAAGTATTTATCATTTATAGATATGAAATTGTACAATTCTCAGTCTTATTCATTTTAACACTAACTGCGAAATTATTATCTCTTCATCTAATAGATTGTAGTCATTACTAACTTAAGTACTATGCGGGTGTGCTTATACTACTTTGAGGAATCAAAGAAAGCTTATTAAGCGACACATAGAATAAACAGATAATCAACAATATATAGCTTTCCATATCAGTTCGTTTGGTGATAATCATACTTGTTATAACATCGAAAATGATATTATCAGTATAATTGGCCAAAAAATCACATCCTGTACTATATATATATATATTTATATAATTGATGTTATGGAATTGAGTCACTCATTTTCGTTTGGCATACCAACTTCTTTTCAACTCATGTAACCACCTGTAAGTTTTTTTCTTCGGAGATGACTAAAGTATCACCTAATTCATAATACATTAAGCATTTCTTTCTACCCTGCAAGAACCGATGATGACAGTTCCACTCGTTAGGAATGATAAATGTTTGACTATGTGTTATTATGTATGTGGGCGTGTGTTATTTTCACTGTTTCTTTCTTTTTGTCTTTTTTCTGTTTCAAACAAGATATATCTTAGAGAATTATCCATTGACTAAGGAACAAGGTGAAATATTGTTCACTTACGGTGTTCGACCAAATTTAACTATTCATTTAACTGTTACAGATGAAAAACAAAAGTAAGTTGACGGAAACTGTCACCCGTGTACATTCCTTTATATTTGTTTAGTTTTTTCGGTTTTCATGTAAAAATAAGTATTGATTATTATTATTCTTTCATTATTTGATGTGATGTTAACTTTGTTGATATGTATTTATGAGGGACGGAAGAAATATTCAAATATAAAATAGGAAGCTAGAAACAATAGCTGATGGTTAATGAATAAATGTGATCATATTAAATTTCTCCTTCATCACTGTTCATTCATCAACTTTGTAATTAATTGTTAAGTTTCAAAGTGAACACAGTACCCCTTTACTGTTAGGTGAAAATTTAGTGATTAGGGATTGTTAGCTTTCATTGTTTCATAATGTGAAGGCATCATTCACCATCAACACCATACGGTGCAGTACAAAAGACAATGTGATAAACTCCATTCAACAGCTCTATGCTCATACCATATGACAAGTATTTCACGAAGGTAGATTAGCAGAAGTACTTGAATTGACGAGTTTAGCAAGACAATGCTGGATACCACCACTGATTATCTCCTTGATTGTGGTGGATTGCCTTATGTGACAGACTATGAGGAGTTAGAAGACGGCTATACATTGGACTTATAAAGAGACACTGAAAGATCTGGATTTTGACATTGATTTACGTCTGTTGTTGCCTTAAAATTAAAAACTTGAAGGCGTAAGTTCCATTTGAAAAGCAAGGAATGAGAAAAAATACTGATGCATTACTTGTCTGATTTTGTGTTTCTGTATCAGTTTCACACTTGATTAATTACTGCATATGGTACATTGTTATATCAGCGGCAATAATTATAATGATATATAATAATTATTGATCTTTTTATTCCTTTGCGTTCCCAGAGGAACATAAGGCTGCAAGCTAGAGGCTTGAAGTTTCTGTAGCAGTGGTGCTTATTTTACAGGTTGAGGTTGCCAGTCTCAAGCCCAACATTCCCTCTTTACCAGTCTTATTACTGGCTTAGCGAGGTAAAGGAGTGCAGCGGTCGGGGATCTAACCCCTGACCATATGAGGAGTGGTCAGCGAGCATTCTACCTCTGTGCCATCGACGCACATAATAGTAGTAATTGATACTATGTCATAATTTTATTTTATTTAGAGAAGAATTAATTCTAAGAGGAATTACGGAAGCTTCTCAAACACTTCACTCAAAACCATCAGATTCACATGTGTCCCTTTTAACTTCTGGTGAAGAACAATACCAAGAAGATAAACGTTTGAAAAGACGAGGCGGAGAAGAAGAAGAGCAAGAAATAGAAGGAGAGGGTATAAAAGAGGAAAATATTCCGGAAAGAAATGAAGAGGGGTTTAAACAACCTGTACCAGAAATTGATAATGCTCAAGAATTAGTTATTCGTTTAGCAGCTTATGATACTGTTATTCCGCAACTAAGAGAATGGTATATATCTTATAATGGACTTATGGTTGAATTGGATGCTATTCAAAATCGATGGTTATTATGGCGTAAAGTAATCGCTTTAATTAAGCATAGAATGAAACATTTACAAGCATACATGGAGGGGATTATTGCACGTAAGTTACGTCGTAATCATTCTGTTTGATATTTGTAAATTAACTGTCTGTTAATAATAGCTTGATTATTGATTATTACAAAGTAGTTTCCATTTAGAGAATCACTGAATGCTAAATAACATTTAGTGGTTGTTTAGTACTAATGTAAGGCCAATCAGAATTATACATGTATGGGAGATTCTTGACTGGAGTGATTCAATGACTGGAGCGTTTGATTGCTACTCAGCCGCTTGTTCTTAATTAGCCATTGGAGATGACAGTTCTAGACTTATTGAAGTCGAGCATAAGTGATGCAAACTGTTGAAAAGTCATAAATAAGAATAAAGAAGTCATGTGTTAAACCGTGATTACTTGTGGATTTATAATGAAAATCGTTTCGAAATACTTCCGACAAATATAACTAGTTTATATTAATGAAAGACAGAATGAAAACACCCGGTTACCAGGGGTTATGTAACGTCAAAATTTTCGATGGTGCATAATTATTATTGTTTTAAAATTGTGTCTGATCATCAACTTAATAATGTCTTTGGGCCACAAGCAGCTGATGAGAAGTCGGCAAAATAAGTTATATTACCATTTTATTCTGCATATATATATATATATATATATATATATATATATATACAGGGAGGTAGAGAAACTTGGATGTGTGGTCACTTTATTCATGTTACCGGCATCTACTATTGATGTTTATCTTCAGATCTTCAGTAAACAAGATTTTTTCTCCAAACCATGTTTTAACGAATTGATTAATATTTCTTTCTGTAAAAATATCACTCTTTGAAATTTCGATAGTATCATATGTCATTATCTATCTGGATAGTATTATTCGTTCAGTTCTTATTTAAAGCATCTTATATTTCTTTCAACAAATCGCCACTAAAAGTCGATTTCTTTTCAAACTCTTCTGAGCTGCTTTTTGTTTTCTTCTGCCTAATGAGATTCGAGTAATTTTCAGTGAGTTGGTTTGTAGGGATTCGATTTGTCTTTAGTTTAGTCCCGGACTGCAGTGATAATTGCGCTAAAATCACGAATTGGTAGAAGTTGGAATTTATGGGCCATTCGGTCGAGTCCTAATGGTTCTGTAACTGATATCAGTCCCTGATCAAACTAGAGTAATTTTTCTTTAAGTATTACTGATGCTTATACAATTACTAGTAATAGCTTATAATTTAGTGCATAAAATTTTGACTGATTGCTCAGCTTCACCAGAATAATTATTTTTCATTCAATGTTAGGTGTTAGACCTTCGAAGACAATTAAAGATATGATGTGCATAACCTGAGCTCCGTATTTACTGCAACTCTCCAACCAATGTCTATTCACGGTATGTCAGTCAGTGATAACATCTAAGAGTTTGATATTGGGCTGGTTATTTGACAAATGAGATCTTATGGCAGAAAATGTGTATATTCCATTTGAAACCTGTCGACCAAGATTTAACTGTGAACACTAAATTAAGTGACATAACGTTGTACTCAATCATACTATGTTGTTTAGTATTCATAATCAAGTTGTTTAAATCAGAAAGTACATCACTAGCATTCCAAACTTCGGGTGCAACTTTAATTTTTTTTCACGTCACAGTGCCCAAGTTTTACACATATATTAATTTCATGTCTACACATGCGCCTTGTTGATGACTAAAAACAAAGATGGAGAATATGTCACTAAGGTCGTTGTCCTACAGATTAATTTCCAGTAGATGTTATCAAATGATAATACACATATATAGTATGCAGCTTATCTGGCTGACTACATTGTGAGCTTGATCAGCAGACTTTACTGAGTTTCAACATAAGACGTAACACAGAAGCGACTTTTGCCTTCAAAAAGAATGTTTCTGATTTGCTTCTTGCTCTGCATAGACACAGAAAGCACCTTTATTTTCTCTTTCATGTACGCTAAGAAAACATCAGCTTTAACGGTACTAGCTGTTTGAAAGTAATAACTCCTTGCTTGTCTGCATAAGCATATTAAGTTCAATCTAATTTTTTTCATTGAAGTGTGACCACTTGAACGGAAAATTTATAAGTTATACCGGTTTACACAATATATATTAAATCCAAACAATGGATATAAGTGGTGATTAGGATTCGAAGCTAATTTTGTGTCCTGAACCGAACTAAATAGAAAAATCGTTGAAAATCAATAAGAACAAGAACAGCTTTCTTTCTCATTTGGAAATCATTATTAATGTAGTCTTATAGTCAAATGTCACCAACGGTCCTTAATTTTCAGCTTTTTTAAAAAATAATATAGATTTAGTAATCTGTGAATGCAGCTGTGATTAGTTGGCTTAAACACTTGACTTTTATTCGGTGGATGGTGGGCTCCATCCCTAGTTCACGTATTTCGGCCTTGGCTGATATCATCATCCCTTAGAAAATAAGTATGGTTCATGGATTGTTTAGGTAAAAAGTCTGTTACGAGTGAATAAATTTCTGATTGGTAATGTTGTGTGTGTGATGTTGAGTTTCGACCATGTGTGACAGAATCGAACTTTATATGCATTCGATCTCCTGCTTGCGGAACCAAGTTGGTAAATGTTCTCGAATGCATAGACGAACCAGCCTAATCTCACGGCCTATATCACTTGAACCATAGGGATAGTTGCAATGGTATATGCATGAGGAAGAACTATGGTTAAGTAAAACGTTTTTCGGTTTCTAGGTGAACACTCAATGACTTCTGAAGGATAGGAACAGATGAGCAGAGCGGAAAGTCTTCTTTATTGCTGTGTACAAAGACTGGGATGGAATTTCGGGCAGAAGTATCTCTTATGAACAGTAGACTTCGAAATAATGCTTTTAAAAATGTCATCGGAAAACAAACGAATAAAAATATATGACAGTGGAAAAAACAACAGTAAAACATTTTCCTTTCAGCTAAATGTCAATATTTTTTTTCTCTTTCAGATAACGCTGTCTCCATAGCTGAATTAGGCATTCAGCAATCTAAATATGAAGAATTAGCGAGTGAATTTCGTCAATATTGTCCTGTTTCACTGAGAGAAAAACACGAATTAGAAGATACAATCAATGAGCCTAAACATGAATTCATTATTCAGTTGAAAATTAATGATAATGCCAACAAGGCATCACTGAACAGTAATCATAACCATAATCACAAACATAATCGTACTCACATTCCTAATAATAATAATAATAATAATAATAATAGTTATAATAATAACAATGGTCATAAATCTGAAAATAGTCATGTTAACGACGATTTTTTGCATACTTCTAGTTCTAGTGTCTTTGAGCACAATAAGGTTGATGAAGAAGAGAAAGAAAGAGATGAGTTCACTGATGCTTTGAAAAGTCCAATTAAAATTTATACAAAAATGCGTTTTACAGCTGAATATAATGGACATTATTATCGTATGGCTGGACCAAATGAGCTACACGCCTTTTTAACCAATCCAGAAAGATATATTAGACCGAATAATATGTGTATTCTACCACAAGAGGAGTTAATTCCTATGCGTCTGAGAGGAGATAGTTTAAAGAGAATCCGTGATTCCTTTCCGATACAATTAGCACTGAATGGTTATTGTCCTGTTTGCTTTCAGCATAGTAAATCACGTTATGAAGGTTTAAAATTAGGCCTATCAGAATACATAGCACATTATGATAATAAATTTTACACATTCTGCTCAAATGATTGTTTACTCGAATTTCTTAGGTAAGTGAAGCTGACTTTTTTTCGGTGCCTACAAGTTTGAAATTTACTCACATTTCGATAGCTGCTTTTTTCTTAATATTACTATAAATAACAACATGCAATTTATTATTTACACAGCTGGTGAGATATTCAACTAGCTGGCAGAAATTAAGTATACTTTTGATTGGACACTATTTAGTAATTAGTGTAGTGTGTATAGTCCTTTGTTTGGTGTAGAATAAATTCTGTCAGTCACGTTGGCAATGCGGCCGCCATTATAGGTGGCTCACCGTCACAGTGCACATTGATTTGACGATATTAGATGGTTGGAGGTAATCGGCAGGAAGCCTTGAACCTAGGTTTCATGCTAGTTGGCACTCATACCAGTCAGTGAGGCGTATCTGCAACCTTGAAGGAATTCATATCCCTTCTGAGATTCGAACCCGCGTCACCCAGTACTGTAGTCAGAGACGTTAACACCGAGCTATTCGGGCTCTCGGCTGACCTCCTGTAGGAATTTGTTGAATAATTTTGACTGGACACTAGTCAGAAGGAACATCAGTTCCTTCAAGGCTACAGATACGCCTTGTTGATGAGTGCCAACTAGCACGAAACCTAAGTCCAAGGCCTCCTGTCGATTACATCCAATCATCTAATATCAACTGAGTATTCTGCATAGTAGTGTGTTCTTTTCTAACTGACAGCTATAAATTTAGTCACTATATATGATCTGTGAAGTTTCTCATATATTACATAAATTCTAATTCCCACGTATTACTGTTTGCATTTCATGAGACTGTTGTGTAAACTAAGTAGAGATCGGTTGGAGAGAGTCTGAGGTAAGAAGTGAATTTGTCCAGTCAGTCAAGCAGTAAATCTGCATCACAAAAATTGGCTTGAATCAGTGTTATTCCTCATTGTTCGCCTTAACTTTAAGTGTAACCAGACTAAGATATTGTGGAAATCCGTAAATTTAGTGACTCTTATTGACCTGATCGAAATAAATTAACTGGCTTAGGCCCACAGAACCACAAGAATCATGGAGAAATACAATACGGAATCACTGATAGTGTTATAGATGCATTCATACCCTACCTTTATTTTATCTGCAATATTAAGCCTCTTTATTGACATTACTCGTTAATCTTCTCCTTTTAAAGAGTTATTCGGGTGTTTCATGATAAGATTTTAAGGATAATAAATACACCTTGATAGATTAAATTTCATGCGTTTAGAAGTTTCGGGAACAATGGATTGACTTCTCAATCTCAGCTAAAACACAAATTTAATTGGGGGCATCATTCTCACTAAAACTTTCATAATGAAAACTGCTCCGAATTTTTTCTGTTCTCTGCAAGCATTGAAATTGAATGAACTATCTTAGCTACTTATATGAATATGATTTGTTCTCTTTTTTCCATTCAACGAAATAATTTTCCTACTATTCGAAGACTCAGTATTACTTTTGGATTAACTGAGCAGGGCGTAATCAGTGGACAAATTTCGAGAAATAATAAATTAGGATGAAACTATTGCTGATTGTTTCTCTTCAAGTGTAGATACTCCTTAAAACTTCTCCACAAACTCCTGTATTTAACACATCAACTCAATGCGACATTCATTTCGATGGTTCAGTGATACATTGCCCACCAACCATTCACGTGGTTCAGGTTCCGAAACCTAACCTAGTTTACTAGCCAATGATAATCCCGGAGAATAGTTCAGGTTGAGCATGATGTATGACGTAACCTCACCGCGTAAAAATCATCTCAACTTGAAATCATTCAAAACACAAGAAAGGAAAAAAGGTAATAATGGATTAGAAAACTGACGTTGTCTTCGACTTAATTAAATAACGACTGAATTGTGAAAAAAAAATCAAGAGCTAAAGCGTATTCAGACAAATAGTATTTCAGTAGCATCCATGAACTCTGCTGATCCAGAAAAGAAGTTTGCTTGGGTTGTCAAAGGTTTAGCAAAACTTTTTTGTGAAGAAAACATTACTTTCCTTGAATCGCAATCATCATATAAGCATTCCACCTTCAATGTTTTGGTTATAATTTTATACATAGTGAGTACATGAGGCAGAGAATGTGAGACTTTCTCAGATAATCTTAGTTTAAAATCATGAATAATCCTCATTCATACATTTGTGAAAAACAAAACACGTCGTTCAACAATTAGTCTGTTTTTGGCGAATTCATTCACTTAGCTGTACCATCGCAATTATACGTAATTGTACTGTATTTGCGTGTGCACATTAGGTTTGTCAGACAAGAATAAAATTTAGGGAGGGTTATTGTCTGCGTCATCAAAATATTTCAAAAAAGTTTAGACATCGCCACTGAAAGTCGAAGACATGAAAAGCCTGGCTGTCTTTGATCCTAGTAGTCTGCATTCTATCTCCCGTGTTAAGTGGTGTGATAAGATGAGCAATATTGAGGTTAGGCATTGGTCGAGTGCTGGGTAAGGAGGGAAGGGAAATCAATCGACGAGGTTATGAAGTTATATCGACTGAGATGGGTAGGACATGTGTCACGCACGCTAAGCCATCCATCACCTTTCTCTACGGGCAATGATAGCTGACATAGGATCAGGTTGGAAAAGAGCTAGTGGTCAAACCGTAACAATGGCGTCTTCAGTCAATGAAATCTCCAACAGTTGGTTTAAGCCAGTCACGTCGGGAGGTGTAGAATTCTTGACTGCTTGGGGTCTTCAGGATGGTAGAAGTCAATGAGGGCTGGAGATAGTTGGTGAGATAACTCAAAATAGTTCTCAATATCTGGTGCAGATGCATTTACTCTTTGTGATTTGTAATATCCAATAAAATTCCATTGTTCTTTCATATTACAATTCTTTTTGCCTCATATCTTGAACCTCTCTTCTCTTGCATGTGTGCTGCATGGAGTGTTGCAACTCAAACTGTTGCACACCTGTTCAAAGTTACATGTTAAAACCAGTCGGATAAGTAATTAAATTGTAACTAGAGTATATGTAAAGATTGGTAAGAGAGTAGTAGTGATGAGTTGTCAAAGATATAGTTGTCAGTTTTAGTCAATGCAGTAAAGAAGTTGAATAAGTGTATTATAAATGTAAGTAAGAAGTTTTGGTATTGTGGAATAGATCAAATAAATCACAATTATCCATAAAAGAGATAATAAAAAGTCTTGAATTCTATCCAACTACAAAATACTTTACATGTGAAGGAAAAATATGCCAACAGAATCAAGAAATTGCCATGGGACCTCCCATCTCACCAATAGTAGCAGACATATTGATGAATTTTTGGGAAGAGAATACACTTAAACCATTCATATCATACACAAAATGTTTAGTGGAGATATGCAGATGACACATGAGTAGTATTGAAAATGAGTGGTGTTGAGCAGTTCTTCTTCTCTCAGATAAAATTCACACTATGGAAATAGAAAATGAAATTTCGGAACTGCCTATGTTAGACTGCAAACTAAAAAGAGCAACAAATGGTAGCATAAAAACGACGCTATGTAAAAAGACTACACATTCTAAGAGATTCTTTGATTATCACTCAACTCATCCATTCACAGTAAGAACTAGGGTGGTTAATACAAGGTTTCGCAGACAAAATACGCAGACCTACAACAACACCAGAGACTAGAAATAAATGTTTCATTCAAAATGTTACCTGAAAAAAATTACCTAGGAGAATTTATCAGAGATAATATAAAGATAGAAAATAAAACCAGAGAATGACAAGAAAGAGGAGGGCAAAAACAAAAAACAATCACCATACCATACAAAAATGGTACATCAGAGGCAATTCGATGAAACCTCAAAAGAATTGGAATTCGTATCACGTTTAAACCAACGAATCTAATTAAGAATAAAATAAATCAGCTAAAAGATCCGAAGAAAATGATGGATAAAAACAATGTAATTTACAAAATATCTTGTTTTCCAAGAGTTGATTTGTAAGGATTTGATTTCTTTTTCGAGTGTGACCACGGATTGATATCAGTTAGAGAAGCGCTGAAAACCAGGGAGTACTGGACAGCTGCTGTTTCATCCTCGTTTAGGAATTATCGGCAGTACGCACCCATTGGTGCGTACTTCGTGGTTTTCAATGATTCTCTAACTGATATCAATCTATGGGCACTGATGCGTTGGTGGCACAGTGGTTAGGACTCTCGCCGACCATGCACATGGTCCGGGGTTCGAGCCCACGCCGGCGCACACCTGATATCTATGGTCGGCCTGCAAAATTTGGGCTACCGATATCCATGCTGAAAATTCCATACATGTACCAAAAATACAGTGTGGAATCAAGCTGTAAATCAAAAAAAAAAAAAACTTGAAAATATTTTGTTGTGAATATCAGACTAGATATATGGCTCAAACATCTAGATAACTCAGAATAAAAGTGAATGAGCATAAACGCCTTACTAAAGGTGTTTCCACAGGAATACAAGCTTACAGTAATTTAGAAATAGTTTCATGTATAGCTGTATATGCATAGGACGAAAACCACAACATTGATTGGGACAACGTTTGTAATATGAAAACTAATATGAACAAATGCAAATAGAGTTATAACAGAATCTATATTCATTAAAGTCAAACCGGATACATGTAACAAGGGTGACTCAGTACAACTGTCAACAACCTGGAATATAATTCTGGATACACAAAAATGGTTGGGAAAGAAGAACTATATATTTGAGTACAAATCATAAGTGTCACTTAAAATACAATTCCAACTGTTTTTGTGATTACGGGCACTTACTGTGCTCGAAATATTACCAAACAACAACAAAAACTTATTATTGTGTGTAAACTATTGAAATATAATTATAATTTAAGTGTATTGTAGTTGCGTAATAAGATAAACAATTTAATGAGTTGTAATCAGGATGGACATAGAAAATAAGGAAAATGTAGAAATATATAAGAGTTCAGAAGAAATGCAAGAGTTATAATGAATTAGAAAAACAAACAAAAGTCAAAAGACAGTAGAGGTCAACAAGTTCGTTGCCATAATAGTAGAAGTAGGTGAATAATTTTTTTTTATATGCATAGCTCCGGTTTACGACTAAGGCTTCAGAAAGGCAAGGAAGACAAAAGACCATTAACTTTGATAGGTTGTTGTTGCTTATGTAGATTATTTTCAAGGAGGCGTTTGTTGAGATAGAATGACCAGTGTTGACATGGTGTTCGATTATCGCACTCCTTATAGAGCCACTACTACTTTTCTGCAACAATGTGGTGGGATATTTTTCTAGAACCTTTTTAGACAGTATACGCACTGAACGACCAATGTACTTGGCTTCACGGTCATAGATGAACTGATATATACACGCATAGAAGTGGTCAGATGCGAAATCTTGTCGTTAGTACTTCTGCAGACCAGCGGATGACTGGAGAACACCACTCTTAGAGTTGCTGCGAAGGACGTTCTCAAAGATTCTGAAATTCTTCTCTTAAGAATATCACACGCTAAGTCTCCCTTGAAGTCCAGATTTATGTAAGGTTTCTTTTTTTGGAACAAATCTTAGTTTCACATACACCCATCGGCCAATGTAATCATAGCCAAAGTTATCTTACAAAGAGAATGCATTGTGAACCAAATAAATTCTAGTCTTCATAAATAACTTGAAACTACTAACCATTTCAAAAACAAAAATAAAAACAATGAAATAACAGGAAGTGTTACAAGTTTTTTTGGTTAAGTATGATTGACAAAACATAAATAAACCGAAAGAAAAACAACTGCGAAATATGAAATAACCTTGGTTATGCATAACTGTTTAATAAATACGCCTCAAAAATAATCAATGCGCTGATTGTTTGCCGACTAATACTAGCGACGTTCAGAACATACGTCTACTTTTAAAATAAGAATTACTTAGCTTCATTGTTAATTATTGAAGAGGATATAACGCGCGGTTACCGAAGTTACCTCCGTGTATTGCACTTGATTTGAGCTTTTGATAACTCGATAATATTTCGTCTGATTGGTTGGAGGACTTCATCATGAGCTGACATCAATTAGAGAACCACTGGAAAACCAGCTGGGAGTACTAGATAGCTGTTTCGTCCTAGTTTAGGGCACTTCATCAGTACGCCCCCACCGGGGGTCGAACCCAGGACCTTCTGGTTGCAAGGCGAGCTCATAGACCACTACACCATTGGGACCTGATCTTATCCGATGGTCTGACTCTTTTTCATCAGTTTGAATTCTATTCTACGTTCACTTTTCCTGTAATCTCAGGTCGTCAATTGGATAGCTTCAGTTCTTCTGATAACAGGCATTCTTTGTTGTTTTAACTATGTTTTGAAAGCTTCTCATTCTCTGTGAAGATGAGTTTTTATTTCTTCAGGACAATGCTTAATTTCATGTCAAAGGCTGTGTCGATGAACCTTAGTACCCGGTAAGCACTGGAACTATTAGAGGTATGAACTTACAGCTGCATGTGCGTACGATTATTCAATCTGAATGTTTGCCATTTTGAAAAATAAAGTTTAACAAATGCTAATTTTGATTTTCTTCGTTTGTTCTCTTTTTTCCTTAACAGGAAACCTGTTCTTTTCTATGATTTAAAATTACCACACAAGTTACCTCCAATCGCTAATCCAATAACATTGAAATCTTTACCATTACCTGGTTTCCTTGAACAGACATTGGGTATAGCACTCTGTAGAGCGCTGTCTGCTGTTGGTCAAGACCGACCGAAATTCCCATTTATAAAAATCAAACGATCAGCATTAATCTACATGGGATTACATTTAAAAGGTAAGCTAAAATATGCGGGGTATTTTTTAAATATTTTGATTGTGGCCAATTTCTCTACTAGAAAACTTTGTTGATATTTGTTCCGGTTTTTAAGTTACATATCTAGTAGAGAGTGAATCAGCCCCAATCCATCCATTTTGGCCTGAGTAGCTGAATAATATCATGTACTCTGACGTAGTAAATGTGACTCAATTTTACCATATTACTTTGCCCCAAAGTTCGCTTACGGACAGGTTCCTCAGTGTGGTTCCTTATAAAATTTTTATATAAAAACCACTGATGTGTTCCAAAGAAGCCAAAATAATTATTCACCTCCACATAATTTCTACTGATCTTCCACTTGATAACAGACCACTATGTAAACCACTTTAGGGTTATGAACTTAATACTATTCGTGATTAAGTGTTATCCCTTTCGTTGACAATAAGTAGAAGGTGTTCTAGACTTCACCTTCCCCATTACTTGACGATTAATTCACCTGTAGACAGGCAACTGAGAGTGTGAATATAGTCTTTTACGGTTATGATGCTAGCGTTATTCAGTCTTCTTGATGTGTTGCACACTTCATTTATTTCGGAAGCTAAATCATCACTTATCGGCTAGTTGACGACAACGTATTAACATGAGAGACAGGAAGCTTGTTTACCATTTGTTAAATGCGCCGTCTTTGACACCAGTGAGTTACATATCATCTTTCTACTAGACGAAATCTAATGGATAGTGGTTTTCACTGTCCAAATCTAACAGCTGTAAGATATGACCCCTGAAAGTAGAAGATATTAAATGACTACAGGTTTTTAATCAAAGGTTTATTTATGTAATTCTATATGTCAGATAGAGCAATATGTCAAGTAATGATGAGACTAAGCGAAGGTAAATCAAGCTATGGGGTTGTGAGTCTTAATGTTCTATGTATTCTACATATCTTTACTAATCTATACTCCATAATTCTCTGTTTAATCCATGTTTTGCCATGATAGTTTTGTTGTAATTTTGAGGAATGGGAACTTGTACTAATGCATATTTGTGTTAAATCCCAAGTCGATTCATCTCCTAGATGATCGGCTTATTTTAATGTGTATGAACCTCCAGAAAACGCATACGCCATTCTGGTATTTTTCATCCATTTTGAGGTCATATCATATTGTGAATGATAAAACCCTGAAAAAGGAGAGCGGTACTTGCAGATGGTTAAGTCTAGCGTTGTCGAATTATTTCACCTATGGCGAGGAAAAAATACATGCCAGACAAACTTGGGTTTTCTTTGACTGCACTCACAAGACTCTAGATCTTTTCATCATTGTAGCTGAATAAGGCTAAGTGCTCAACCTAGGTCAAATCAACCTGGAATCCAGGATAAACTTTTCATTGTGACTAGAACTTATCTGCTAGTGAAACGTGACATCTAAGTAAGTAGTGCTCCTACCGAGACTCATGTATCAATAGGAGACTAGTAGATATTTTTGGTATTTGAAACAATTTGTTCTGGGTTCGAGTCCCATGAGAAACCTTACCGTTAACTGACGAGTTCAAAATAAAATGAAAAGAACGTCGTATTTCACACTGCTGACTACCAGTAACGAAAACACCTGAAAGATGACTTCAGCACATCTTCGAATTGTCGTCACTAAGAACCTATATTTCAAATGGGATTGGGCTTTTCGGTCCAATAGAAATCACCTGGTGATGAATTCAAGTAAAAATAATAGTATTACTAGTAATAATACTCGTGTTAGATACAAATGATTTCTGCATAGAACAAGATGAAAGCTATTGAAACTAGGCTTGTTTACATGTCTTCGCTGTCTTTTGTTTTCTTTTTCGCCTATTTGATAAACACAGCATATAATCCAAGATTTTCAATAGATGAGAGAAAAAAATATCAAGAAAAGCTGAAAAATTACATACAAACGTGCTTATTAATCCCATGGTTAGCTAAGTCTATGCCGTTACCATACTATCCAGTAGCTAAACGTTCATCAGAATTCAATAAAAAATTGGACGACTTTTTAAATTGTGAAGAATGTGTAGATCAACCTGAAACTTGGATAGAATGGGACAAGTAAAAGCAGACAAACAAGGAAGATAATATGAATGGTTAGTATTCAGTATGCATGCATTCCTCATACAGTTATATCATCTTTTAAAGTTATCTTTCAACGACAACACTGAAAATGTAAGACTGTATAAATAGAAATACGCAAAACATTCACACACACAGATACATTCACATAATATGTTTTACTAAATGCAGTGGAGTATTGTCCAGTTCATTGAATTCACCACTTTTTGTCTCCAAGCTTGTTTTTTTCTTGCTATACTTCAAATAACTTTATTGTAGGATTGATTTTCAAATATTTCCATATACCAAACAAACAAACTATAAATTTATTCGATTGTGAAAAAGCCTAACAAAAAGTAGCGGAAAAGGAATCTTCGCATCCATTAAAGTTATTAAGTAAAAGTAAAGAATCAATAAATTTTGGTTACTATTCATGACAATAGAATAATCTGCTAAGTAAATAAAGTCAACTGAGAATAAGATTCAAAGGGGTTTTATACCTGGTACTCTGTGTGTGTGTGTGTGTGTCATACATTGTCTTCATGAAAGAGTAATGTTAACCGATGTAGAAGTTAGCCATGATCGAGGGTAGATTTGTATCTTGCGTAGATGATGTTGGCTGGACAGTGGAATCGTCAAACTTTCACCATTTTCTCTCTAGACAACATCTTCAGCCCTGACTTCAGTATAATAAATTGAACTTTTGCAATTCTTCATGCTTTTACTAGCCATCTCTTATGATAACTCAGTGAATGTGACTGGTTGTCTCCGAAGATTTTCTCATTACCTTGTCCACTTGTATTTGTAATCATTATTTCGTTGACTTTATGATAGTTGAGCATTTTTTTTTGTCCATGTGACTTTCTTTTCATTGTCTGATAAGTTTAATCTAAGCTAGTCAATGGAATTAATTTGAAAGAGGTCACTTCCTTCACTTATCTAGCTAAGCATTATCGTTTCAACTGCGGGCATGCTTAACGGATGATGATATCAAAACCAGTCTGGATAGAAAAGGCAAGTCAGACCTTTATCACTCTGAAATCAGTTTGAAACTATTCTGAACTCAGCATCAACAACAGAACTTGAACTCTCAACACTATAAGTCAAGTCGGTCAGTTCTTTTAATGCGGGACAGAAACTTTGACTCGTTACATTTCCAACAGGTTACGGCAAACTTTTATCGACAACTGCCTTTGCTGGCACCATCTATTTATTCATTTAAAAGCAGGAAAACTTGGTACAATATGGTACCAAGAAAGATGCGCCACACAATGATAATAAAACAACATGGATTAAAAATAAAAATATGAGTAGAGAACAGATAGAGAACTTCATCTGGAAGCAAAACAATCATACTTAATAAGTTCAAACAGTGTTTGTCAACTAACAACAGGAAGGGAAGAAAGAAGGAAATTGTGGCACATTCACCATTGATTACGATTCTTGGCCATATCCGATAACGTTTAGAGACATCAATTCGATTAGTTCCAAAGTTAAAAGGTGATGAAGGCAACTAGTGACTTAGTGAAGAAACAGATAAGTTCTGGACAAACTTCTATAGCTTTCACTCGATTTGTCAAGTTTTAAACGAGAACTTGGAACTTTCAGCCAAGTGAGTCTAAGTCTAGGAAACTATATGCTGTTTTAGTACCAGTTATATTGACCACTGTGCGTCGGTGGCACAGTGGTTAGGACTCTCGCCGACCATGCACATGGTCCGGGGTTCGAGCACGCACCGACGCACATCTGATATCTACGGTCGGCCTACAAAATTTGGGCTACCGATATCCATGCTGAAAATTCCATACTTGTACCGAAAATACAGTGTGGAATCAAGCTGTAAATCAAAAAAAAAACTTTAAAATGCCAACGCTCTTCAAATCAGTAATTTTTGAGCACTGTCCCTTTGACGAACAACATGACAAAAAAATAAATCAATCACTGACCCAATTCTAAAACAGTCAGTTTATTCATGTCACACGAAACCAATGATGTTTTATTTAAAGGTTTCTACAGAGTTAAGGCAAATTATACGAAGGATGTTAATTCCCGAAAATTTTAGATGGAAAAGACTGAAAGCAAAAGAGATTTCACAGGACTGTATCAAATAACTACTTCGTTTTTTTGGAAAACGGTCAACACACATCAAACCAGTGAAAGATAGTCATTATAAGAAAACAGAAAACACTAGCCTGATCATTTTGAAGGACTCCGGAATCGACCACCACCTGCAACTCCTTCGGAATTACCACTAGCAGAAACAGTACTACCGATGAACATCTGTTCTACAACACTAATAATCTTGAAGGAGATGAAGTTGCTGAGTGCTGGGAAAGCAGCAGGACCGAGTTAATTCCCCCCCAGAAGCACTGAAAACAGACTCAGAGACATCAGCGGACATAATCATATGCGGAAAGGAAAATACTTGCGATTGGAAGAAAGGCTACCTTGTCAAGCTGCCAAAGACGTATGAGTTCAGCCCATATAATTAATGACTCAGCACCGTGCTCTTATCCAACCCGAACAAAAAAACTAAATCACATCATTCTGTAAAGAATAAAGGATGCCCTGAACAGAAGAATTCAACTGAAACGGGCTGAATTCAGGAGAAACAAGTCATGTGCGCACCAAATTGCAACAATACGCACCATCGTCGAATACAGTGTAGAAGGAGAGTCACATGTACGCCTCCACTTCACTAAATACAAAAGGGATTTCGATACTATCTACCTCGAAGTAATTCGGAAACTGCTTCAACGTTACAGAGTACAGCAAAACAAATATTTATAAACCTTAATCGACGGCTATATGATGATACCTCATTCCAAGTAGTTCACAGTGGAAAGCTCAGCGAAACCTTTTAGGTGTAGACCGGATTAAGACGAATTCACTTACCTTTACCTATGACATTTCTGATCGCGGTGGACTAGATCTTGCGACAGAGGGCACATAGGTAGTTTGAGAATGGGAATACGGTGAACTGACGAAAAGACCCTAAGAGACATATATTTCGCAGACGATTTATATTTCATGTCACACAAATTCGAAAACCAACAGTTTGACAGAACTAGCAAATACAGGACTCCAAGTGAACGTAGAGAAGACAGAGTTGATGCAGCTACATAACCAATAACAACAGTAAATACCAATCACCACTGACAGGAAGAATCTGAATGAAGTCGCCTTCCTTACTTACCTAGGCAACATCGTTCCATTTACAGGATGCATGGATGAGGATGTCAATGCCAATAAGCATGGGATTGGAAAAGCAAGACAAGCATTCAGTATTCCGAAATCCATGTGGAGATTTATTACGGAAGTTTTTAACACTGGCTCAGAACTGAAGATCAAATGGCTGGCCGGAAAGGACAAGAAACAAAGAAGTCTGGCTCAATAAGTATGAGGAATGACATGGAGATAGATCTGACATACTCTGTGAAGACACACACCAACCAGGCCGTCGAGTGGAATCCAGATGGGAAGCGACCAGTTGGGTGTGGGTCCGAGGTGATTTGGAGAAGATCATGTGTAAAAGAGAAATTGAAGCTTACAGATAGTTGTGAAGGTAGTTGAAAGTGAGGGCAAGCAACGCAGAGCAATGAAGATATGGTGCTGAAGCCCTAAGCCTCACTTTGAATGCAAATAACGAAAAATAATAGTAATATAATAAAAGAGAAGAGGTTAAAGCAAGGAATTACGTAATCAAATAAAGGGAGCAATTAGGAAATCGATGAGCGACTGAAAACTGCTTCTTTCTGAACACGCGAGTAGGATTGTAAGCGTTTACTAGTAACTGCTTCCGTAAACTTGAAAAGAAATGAATTATTTTGACTATGGATCATCTCAGGATATTTCAGGATATCTACATCATAGCCCGTATTAATGAAATGCCTGGCAATAACACTGTTGAAACGCACCATACATCTGAGGTGTAAGCTTTTCGATACACACTGAGAAAATCTAAGGTGTGTCCTTCTCTCCGTTCTTCTAAAGTAACTGCTACCTTATTCACAGTATCTATTTTCGATTGCACCAAAGAACACGTTGCTTGAAAAACGGTATCCATATTGGTTGCAGGATAGGTGCTGCTTAGTGAATTATTCTTCTCCCAAAATTATGGTACCATATCTACTAATAAAAGGACCAGTGGACTCCCTATAGCTAAACCATCAACTTGACGGTAGGATGACCAGAATTGAATTGCACTTCCACGGTATATATATCAACAGCAAATGTTCCGATTCCTGCACTGCCAGAGAGAGAAATTTAGAATGTTGAAAAGTAGTACCAACAGTTTCGTGAATCAGAATCCTTCTGAATAAGGTTATAACCGATGATCTCATAAAAGTTTCGGAAAATTTACTGTGGCACAGGCTTTCGACAAACTGTAGTGAGCCATACATGGTAAATACAACTAGTCATTGATGAATAAGTCTCAATTTCTTTGCAAATCAGTGGATGACTGACTCTGTGTTGAGGAAAGTTGATAATAGAAAGTGTAGATCTCAACGAAAAGTGCTTGTTTTTGGCAAACCATACATATGAAGTACACGAGACCCTCTAATTTTTAAGACTGCACTTATTGTTGTTCATAAATTCCTCTTTTAAGAGCTCTACCAACATATTTGTGAAACGCTTTTCAACTGAATTTTTACTAGCACTGTTACAGTTTTTCACTTTAAATCTGAATGGGTAGATCATAACGAATTACACCTTTGTGACAGCCTTCTTTTTCTATCAACACTACCCCTAAGCCCTTAAAAATTCAGAAAATCGTGATTAATTTACATCGTGAGATATCGTGTAGGGTTTTTAGAATGTTAACAAACATCTCAGGTACACCTCGCCTTAAAAAATAGTTCCAGAGAGTAATTCTGTGCAATGCCAAAAAAAATGGAGATGGATCTGGTACATGCTGAGGAGACAGTTGAGTGATATCGCGCTCCAGGCTCTTGCGTGGAACTCGAAAAGAGAACGACGAATTCTGCATCTGCAGGTGATATG